ACATTTAAACCTTTATTCAATATTAACATACCAAAAAGAAAAGCTTTGCTATGGGAACACGAATAACCTTTGCATGATGCTGAAATAAGTTTGTGTCAACAACTCCAGGATGAACGCAATTGGCTGTAACATAACACTGCTCTGTAGTTAGTCTTCTCTGCAGGGCATATGTAAATAGAATATTAGCCAATTTACTCTGGCCGTATGCAGCATATTTACTATAGCGATTCCTATTGGAGTGAGAAACATAAAAACTGTATAAAATACATTAGAGCGGATTTCGTATGAGTGGGACACCGTTACCGCACGGTTACCGCACAGTTACCGCACCTGGCCTGCAGAATTTTGGTGAAACAATGGGGCACWAGAATTTGRTTACAGTACGATTACGGTTACAGTACAGTACCGTCCGTTTCCCACTCATATGAAATCCGCTCTATCATAACTATAAGAATGACAAATTAAGACACAAGATTTTAAGAAGAAGGAGTGAAGGAAACAAATAATGGCATATTTACTTGATCTGTAAGTCACACGCAAGCTAGTGTGACTAGAGAGGGATAGGGAGAGGGATATCTTCATTACAATACCTATAAAATGGCTGACTATCAGTTAGCATTCAGTTAGTAAGTTAATATTTGTTTGTGTTCTAGTCTAAAACAAATCAACACTCTGATGAATGAGCTTAGACCTGTATTTAGTTTCTTACTTGCTCTGTAAATCTTCAAAGTTAATGGTTCCAAATTTTCCAGCAGATGAAGAAACAGTAACAATTCTTGAATAACTTTCTGGTGACCCAGATCTGTTACAGAATATAATAGATGACAATGTTTCATTAGTATAATTATCTGCATACAAAGAAAACATTGATTGTCTGGTTAGAATCCAGTGGTGGATCCAGGATYATCCAAAAGGGGCCATTCCATGCATGCATTTCCCTTTTTGACATTTTCCTAAAACTCATGKTTTCTTTTTTGTACGCATTGGCAGAGACAGCCCATGTGGATTACGACCTC